ACAAGTACAGGTTTATTTACCATTTACATCTGTAGTCATGAAGTCCTTTGAAAGACTGGTGTTGGCCAACTCGAAGGACACAACACCTTGAATCTCCAGGGACATAGGATCATAATTGTGGACTTCAGCTCGGTGTTCAACTCCATCATTTAGCTCCAGCTCCAGCTCACCGTGCTACCCTCCACCTAGATTACAAACGTCTTGACTGACAGAAAGCTGGTGAGGCTGCTGGTACAGATGTCCTGCGCCAGCTCAGGAAGCTAGATCTGCCTAAGGAACTGCTGATCCAGTCCTACACATCATTCAGTCTGTTCTCTGTTCATCCATCACTGTCTGGTTTGGAGTGGCCACCAAACAAGACAGGAACAGACTACAACGGACAGTCAGGACTGCAGAGAGGATCATTGGTGCCCTTCATTCAGGATCTATACTGGTCCAGAGTCAGGAAGCAGGCAAGAAATATCACTGCAGATCCATCTCACCCTGGACACAACCAGTTCCAACTCCTCCCCTCTGGTAGGCACTACAGAGTACTATACACCAAAGCAAACAATCACTCAGACAGTGTCAGGAACAATCCCTGTACAATAATCCTCTTACTCTAACATCCACTGCACCTGAAAAGTATTTATTTATTTTTCCATTGTTGAATTTTAGTTTATTTTTTAAAACATATATATGTAAAGGTAACAAATATATGTATAACTGTACATAGTAGTTTGTCTATTTTGTTGAACTTCTTGTTCTGTTTATTTATGCTTAGTCTCTGTTTGTACACTGAGAGCAACGTAAAACCGGAGTCAAATTCCTTTTATTTGTTCACATACCTGGCCAATAAAAGTGATTCTGATTCAAGTGCGAACAAGTTGCTGCCTAAATTAAATACAATGAAAGACAATCGAGAGACAGATTGGTGCAGTGTTGGTAGTTATGTGTACAGTGTACAGGACTATTGTGGTGAAGAGGGAGCTTCATATATGGTTGAGGACTGGGTATTGAACCAAAGAGATAAGTACTCCAAAGAAGCTGAGCACAAGAGAAAAACACTGCTTTCAAACAACCAAAGACCAACATTCAGCACCCTGCCCACCTGAACACTAGTAATCACATCCTTCAATTGGAATACATGGAGCTGAACAGCTCTATGTAAACAGGACCTAACTGTCACAAACGCTTAACAGGGCTCTTTTAATTTCAGTTCCACAGTGCCCTTGGGTAAAGCACAGTTCTCTGAATAAACTGGTTTAGTGCTCAAGCAATGACAACCTCAATGATACAGCATGATGGATTCAGCTCCTGACATTGTAACTTAATCTCTGTCTCATTTGTTTCAACTGCTTATGGAAATGAAAGATCTGTTTCATGCTAATTCCACTCATTTGCTTATGGTTTCCTTGACATATGAAAATCATTTAATATAAATAGCTTACATCAACAGCCATTACTCCACAGAGCAGCCTACTCATCAAGACTGCAGTACAGCTACTTTGCCACTCTTGGTAAAAAAATAACGGTGCTAATGGCAATGGTGAGTACAATGTAGTGCTTTTCTTGTACTTCCTGTATCATTCATTCAGCTCACATAAGTTGACTGATTATAACTGTGAATATTTTCCTGCAAATAACGTACAGCGTGAGCAATGAATGTGTATGTGTGTATGTATTACTTTTAAAAAATCCATGCAATATGGTTACTGTAGGAAATATGTGTATTTTACTGCTGTCTATTAAAAACCAACATCACACTGTGCTTAGCCAGTTCATCAAATGGTAGTATTGCTGGTAGTTGATCTATCATTTTATATTCATTTCTTCAAAATTGAACCTGTCATATTTAAGATCACTAGAAACTTTGGAATTTTGCCTAAAATGTTAATTCAATTTCCCTGCGTTGGAAGAATACTTGGTATTAAGCAGAGATTTGACTTGATTGGCATGTCATGTTTGCTTTCTCTGCCCCTGATGGTTCTATTATATTCAATGTGACTCAATATGAAGAGAGGGCTGTAAGGTTATATTTCTGTTTTTGAACAAAAGGCTTCTCACTTGTTTAGAATTAACAGGTTAAAAAACCTGTGCTCAGGGTTATAATCTTCTGAATGGTTGGACTCGTTTGAATCTTTGCTTTTGCTTTAACCTTGACTTATTACACCTTGCTCAAGTGACATTTAGAAAGACGTTAACAAGGATGGGGACATCCCACATTAAAAGTAAAGCAGCAGCAGCAGCAGCAGCAGCAAAATTAAGCCGTTACAGCAGTTCACATCTGGACAACACCAGAAGAGTAAGGCAACAAACAAAAAATAAAGTTATGATATAAGAATAGAATATTTCCTTGCCCTTGTTGCCAAGG